ATAGTTGAGGTATACCTATGATGAAAATTACAGGCCTCTCTCATCTTTTTAAGTGGGAGAACTTGCACAATTGGTGGCTGACTAAATACTTTTTTGCCCCACTGTATCTTGGCATTATTGCCAGCTTTTTCTCTTCCCTCTTATTTTCTTGTCCCTTCTTTCCTCTCCTCTCCTTTTTTTGTTTTTACACTGAGTGTATTAGGCACCTTTCCGCTGTTTTATGAAAGATTTTCATACTACAGCCCAGTGTTGCTAGCAAGCAAGTCATATGGCAGTGTCAGATAACTGAAGTCACAAGGCTAGACTACAAAGTGAAATACCACAGATCTATAAACAATGTTCCAAGCTAATGTTAAATATTCAGGTTTGGGGTGTACCTCACAGCAGTTTAGGGCTTTCTTTCAAAACTAAGATGAGTTTCCTGAAAACCAACCCTTACTTCAAAGAGATAATGGAGAAATCTTGCCAGATACTCTATTTCCACTTGCATTTTTGCAGTTCAGCCCTGTACATGTGCACATAGAAGTCAACTCCATGAGTTCAGTAGGGCTTACTCACAGTTAAGTGTGTATATAATGATAGCTTAAAGTGGTTTGAAAGCTGGCTTCTAAAAAAATTGATAAACATCGTAACCAGCTTTAAAAAAATTATTTGGGAAAGTGAGTAACCAACTCTTACTGCTTTAAAGTATCTCTTGCTTAGACCTGCTTGTCTGGAAATTTTTGGCATTGATCTTCCAAGTCTAAGTAGATTGTTGCAACACTGCTACTGTATATGGCCTGAAGGCTTTATAAATACTGTGCAAAGGATATCTGGTTGTTGGATGAATAATCAGAATAAAACAGAAGACATTGTAAGCTCTTCTTGTTTGGAAAAGCTGTTTCAGTCTCTTGCTGCCCTCCTAATTGTTAATCATCAGCTGGTGTTAGGTTTTATCTTCCACTCCAAGTTTAAAGTTAAGGTTTTTCGCAAAGCATGTGTTTTCTAGTTATGCTTTCTTGTTTCATAAAGTTCACTTTATAATTGTTTGATTTAATCGATATAATGTTGTCAGCACAGCTGTTAGAAGTGGGTAACAAGGTATGTTAGAAATAAGGGGTTCATAGGATTTTATGTGTATAGTATGTTTAGAAATGCTAACCAGGAGGGCAACAGCAAGGGATGAAACAGTTCTGCATTTCTATAAAAATTTATATTTCCTGTTGGTGACTCCTCAGTGCAGGCTGGTGCTTCAAGATCTGACAATATTGTTACATTAACTCCCCCATCTTTCACTTTTGGGGGGCTACTTGGGTGAATTAACATTACAGTAGAGACCCTCCCAAGTGGCTATTTCATTCTTACTGATTTTTTCTTATTCTCCTTTTTCTTTTCTTTTCTTTTTTTTCCCATGTCAGATGCAGATAGCATTATTGAAAAGGCTTCCCACTCTGCAATGATCAATCCAAGCCGTCAGTGGCAGGTCTTGAAGCAAAATGCTGGCGTGGCTCATTTTGAATACCAGATCCGGGTCACCTGTGATGAACACTACTATGGTTTTGGATGCAACAAGTTTTGTCGACCAAGAGATGACTTCTTTGGACATTATACTTGTGATCAGAATGGCAATAAAACTTGTCTGGAAGGCTGGATGGGACCAGACTGTAACAAAGGTTTGTAATATCAGTTTTCTACTTCCTGTATATCCTCCACCATCAAATTCTAGAGGCCAAAGAGATTATCTTTTTAGGCCAACTAAGCATCTGCTCAGAAGCATGATTTTGCTATAGCCTTTGGCAAAGTTGGAATATGTTTTTATTTAAAAATATTTTAGGCTGACCTTTTTGAGTCCAAAACCTTCAGATGGCTCGTAGGATCAGAACAAATTAACACTAAACAAATAGTCTTGAAGGAACACTATTGAAATAATAAAATGGACATTGTATCCATTAATATAAAGAGCAACTGCATCAAACCATCTGCAAAGGTGGCTATATTTTTGGTGATATCAAATTATCTAAGGTGATTAAAAACAAAAGGACAACAAAAGCCCTGAAAGGATATCTCTAAAATAGAAGAATAAGCAATTAAATGACCAATGTAGTGTACTCTGGCAAAAAAAATCATAGCTTCACATGTGTGCTAATGGAGTCAGTAATGACTGGGTAACAGAATGATACAGATGTTGTTAGGAATGGTTCTAGGAAACATCCAGAGTCACTTGATTGCTGTAATAAAAGCAAATTCCATGCTGGGAAATATGGAAGAATGAACATATAATTAAGTCACCAGAACTATAATGCCTTTATGGGGAGGTTACTTTGAATGTTGTATGCAGTTTAGCTTAGCTCGGGATATTTAGAGCTGGAGAAGAGTAACATAATGAGCAAAGTAAACTTGTCCTATAGGAAAGAATAATATTTTGGGTTCTTTTGCTCAGAAAAAGGGTAAGCAAAAGAGACACAATAAAAGTGTATTAAATTATGTAAGATGTGGAGAGAGTAAATAGGGAAATTGTCTTCCTCTGTTATAATCCTAGAAAGTAAGGTTAGCCAATGACGTTGAATGGTGAGCGAATCAAGACAAATAAAAAAATATTACTTCATACAACATACAGGTAAACAGACTTTGCTTCTGCAAACTGTAATGATGACACCAGTTTAACTTGCTTAAAAAGGGGATTAGATCAGTAAATGAAGGATAAGACTATCAATGGCTACTATTTACCATGGCTATATATCAGAAGAAACAGGCCTATCAAAACCAGATCCTGGGAAACATGTTTGGCATGGTGCTATTAATATATGTCCTGTTGTGCCGCCCCCCACCCCCACAAAATGAATTATTTGACATCATAGTATTGGTTCATCTAGACCAGTGTTGTCCAAACTTAGCCAATTTAAGAAGAGTGGACTTTTAACCCCAGAATTCCCCCACACAGCATCCCTTCTTGGGGGGTTTTTGGGGTGTAGAGCCATATATCCAATATTGACTGAT